GTACTCAATCCTCAATGGGGAATTTAATCCTCTGCATTTATTTCATTGTACATATGAGCACACATACAGGATGTGAAGAGGTGTGCCATATATGTGTGTAGTATATAATTTTATGGCAATAACATAACATTTTCTATTCAAGGCCCACAATTGAGAACAAACACACAAATCCTTAAGTGCTGTGTGTGCTGTATGTACTTATGTATGTTCACTATTCATGTTACAAGGCAATATTCAATGTCACTTTAATGCCACGTTTCTAAGAAAGTTCACCAAATCTTTATGAAAAGGTTGTGTTTATTGCCTGCTGAGAGAGCATCAGTAATCCCCAAGAATATAAGTGAATGTCATGGAATATGACATTAAACTGTCAGTGTGTTATTATATTGTCATAGAGCTTGCGTGTCTGTGTGTGCGTTACTTTATCCAACCCTGCTGTTGTCTGTGTTTATTTTATTTTCTGTCATTTCTTTCTGAGCATGCATTTGCTCATATGGGCCTCCCCATAGTCATCTGTATGTGGGACTCATTGCAGCTCTGAAGAAAATTGCTGTTTGGGAAGAAGGAGTATGGGGGCCAATGTTTTTTAACAGCTTCATAACCCAGCACTGATGTTCCTCCGTGTAATGTGAGCAGATTAAAACAGGTTTATGGAGGACACTCTTTGTCCTTGACGCCTGTGGAGCAGACCAGCAACTCCATCTTTAGTCCACCAGCTTTGTGCATATCATCCCAAAAGTTCCTACATATATATATATATTTTTTTTTCCAGCACAAGATTATGGGTTATCTGTGTAAATGGAGTGATATTATTAGTAAGTATTAACATGTATGAGTCAGAAATAGGAGATGGCTATTTCAAAATCATTTGAAATGTTAAGTAGCAAACATTAATCTTATAGAGCCAGTTATACCCAGCTAACCCCGTTTCTTCTAGTCTATCTCTGTGTGGCTTTTCATACCAGAGCAGTGTGGTGGTGAGCTGCTCCACTGCCCATCCAACTGGCACATTCGTGTGGTGTTGCCAATGATGGTACGTTGCCCCATGCAGCTGTAGCGAATGACTGAGCCCACCGTTCGACGGTCACCTGAGATCTGGGCATAGGGAGGCACGCTGGGGCGGTCACATAGCACCACTGTCCAAAGGGAGCAAACATAAAACAGAATGAATAACCTATTTTTACTGTGCTCTTACCCTGCATTGCGTTGGTATGCATATTCTGTACAGTTTGCTATTTTCTTCTTTCTTATCAGAGTTTTATTAGAACCTTCTCAAGTGTGAAGCGTACTCACAGAGACATTTGGGCAGAGCGCGATCCCAGGTGCCATCCCCTTGGCAGGAGATTGAACTGGTCCCCAACAGGTAGTAACCTGGGTTACAGCGGTATGTCACAGTGGTCTGGAAGCTGTACCGATGTGGCCCGCTGGACAAAACCTGCCTGATGCTGTTCTCTACATGACCTGGCTCTGTGCAGTTACCAACTATGGAACACAGACAGAAAGAAAAATGATGCCCTGCTATAGCAACTTGCACACTCTTAAAATAAGCATCTGCATAATTAGTAAAAGCCTCCTGCTGGGTGTTGTGTCACATAAAGGTGATAGATATCGACTCCACAAATGACAGTTAGTTTATCAGGAGATGGAAACAGACAGGAAGAGGACCTGATAATGCATAATAAATCAGGATTCTAACAGTGTTTAAGCCAACAGCTATCAATGCCAGTGTATCTTGTTTATCTCATAAACAAGGCATGAACTATTAACTCACCAAACAGCTGCTGTCGATCCTACACTTCCAATCACAGTGCTATGTATACAATGATGCCAAAGCAGTAATGGTTTTCATAACAGTCTTGGAGTTCCCCCAGAACCATTATACCCCAGTTTGCCTCACCAGTCTTGCTTCTATAAATGTTTCTTTGCTCCAGCCAAAATGAACCCACTGTATGCTAATGTGTTTAAAAGGTTGCTCATTTTTTATGCTCCCAAGCTGGCCAGCTTTGCTAAATTACTCCCCCTCCAAATATCCGTTATAATATATTCCTCCCAGTGGAGCACTGACCTGTGGTGCCATCATTAACAACTTACTGCATAATAACACAACAAAGTGTATTCGAAGCATTGGAGCTGCTTCTACTAGAGGCCTTCCAAGCTGAGAATTTAGCTTTTAACAAATGAGTGCATGCAATTAGAGCTTCAATGGGTTCCAGCAGTTGTCTAAAGCAACCACCCTCCTGGTAGATTCCTGTGTGGCCTAATGTGACACAGAGGATGCAAAAGAATGAAAGAAAATACAAAACAATAAAGGTGAGAAAGCTATATGATTTGTGACTCATTTCTTTTTACGTCAGAAGCGGGAACTTGGGTCAACTCAATCACATTCATCAAAATCTCCCAACTAACCCTTGAAATTAATCTCTTTTCATTTAGTACAACATACACACATTTATTCAAATATAATAGTCCGTTTAAAACTAATGATTCAAGGGTTAGCACTAGTGCTCTTTGGATTTTTGATTTTCATTTATTTTTATTACACCTTTATTTAACCAGATAAAAACCCATTGAGATTAAGACCTTTTTCACAAGGGTGACCTGGCCAAGAACAGGCAACAGCAGCACACGTCATAAAAAACAAAACAAGTAGCAAGAGTATGAAGACTTCAGAAATACATAAAAATATAAAACCTACAGTATAACAGTAAATTGCAATAATTATTTAAAACAATAACAATTTAAGATCTAAAACACAGGCACTGTTGACAAGATATCCTTTGTCGTTTTTTTTAAAGCTTGTAAAAAGCACTCAAAGTAACAAGTTCTGTCAGTTTTAATTCAGCTTGCAAGGCATGATAAAACCTACAGACTTCATAGTTCAAATCTGGAATGTGGAGATAATTATATTCGTTTGTGCCCAACTTTCTTCTGCTTTCTGCTAATATTCCTTGTCTCCCCTCACTCAAAAAAAGCTGTTTTAGATTAAACTAAGAGTGAGATAATAATAATGATGATAATAATAATAATAACAATACTTTATTAATCCCAAAGGGAAATTCATTGTTGTTGTAGCTCATCATCCTGGTTTCATTAGAATTGGTATAGATGCTGATGGTTTGGGGCAGGAAGGATCTCTTATAGCAGTCAGTCCCACAAGGGATCCAAAGAAACTGGCTGCAGATGCCGATCCATCCAGCCAGACCCAGCAGTCCTCTTGAGCAGCAGGACTGTCTGAATACTGGGCAAAACTCCTCCCAGAGTGATGGCCATTTCTCTCAGCAGCCTTCTGAGCCCCTCATTACCACAGACTTAACTGCAGGTGCCAGGGAACGATCTCGGACCTCCTGCTGTCATGAGCCACGCTTCCTGCTATCTCCAAGATATTGGAGGTCAGGCATTCAAGCACCACCTCCAGGTAGACGGGAATGCATCCACGGCACCTCCTTTTCAACTCATTTGGGATTTGGGGCTGTTGAGGTATTATTTGAGCTTTTGCAATGTTATTCAGCAGCTCCCAGTTGTAGAAAACCACCTTGTTGCCATGGTTACGCATCATAACAAATGTCCAAAAGTAAAAAAAAAAAAAAAAGGGTTTCAGTAAAAATCCTTCCAGTGGCACAGCATCTAATACCAGAGGAAGTTATCATCTGAAAAAAGTGATTTATATCCAGAAAAAAAAAAAACGAGTGATTAAAGTTTTCAAACACAAAATATCAGAATGAATGTGAGAGAGCTATTCCAACATGCAGCCACCTTGAAGAGGTTTCTAGAATGATGGAAGCGGATGTCATCACAACCCTTTTTTGCTACTCGGACAGAAAAAAGACAAACACACGCTTCACTAAATGTGTCACAATCGCCGTAAGTAATGTAATAAATCTGACTGACACAAAGACTTCTAAGCTACTTATGTCTTCACATCAACAGAGAGGATAATGGGTATCGAAACAGATGCTCACATCCATCCACACACCCAGAGAAGCACACACCATCTTCACATAAAATGCATCTGAGAGTCAGCATCTGCACTGAAACAAGCCTGATGCTAATATGATGTCACTGCAAGAGCAGAGAGATTTAAAGTAAATGTCTGGGAGAAAATTGTGCCTGCTTATGTATGCAGCAACCACACAAGCTCTTCTCTTTTTATACTGGAAAAAAATATATGCCTCTGAAACTTGTAACTTTTCCATTTTCTTAGATAAGTATATAAAAAAAAACACCAAATCCTTTTTCTCCTCATTTAAAACAAACTCATAAGTCAATCCATCGCTGGTTCTGTCACTGCCTTGTCACATTCAGGACCCGACTTTGCAAGCAGCCCCTTTCTCTGCCTGTCAAAAAGCTTTAAGTTAGAAACAACTTCGACAGAGACATGAGTGCAGAGATGCATCGCTTGTCACAAAACACTGGCAAATTAAAAGTCTTTGCCTCGCTCATTCAAAGCAGAGCAAGCTCATTTTCATTCGGAGCAAAATCTATGATGCGGGTCTCCATGGGCTGCTGTCTCTCATACAACCTCAAGGATTCTGTGATTGTCTTTGGCTGTCTCTGCATGGTTATTAACTAACTTTGTTTCCCTGACACACGGGTGAGCCTGAGGGGATTAAAAAGAAGTTGTTAGGCTGAAAGGAATAGAATCATTTGTAAATATTATCGGGAATTTCTTCGAGCCTGGAGTTTGATGCTAATTAAAGAAGCCATGCTGTTATTTAGGATTTTAATTCTGCCACCCCTCTGCTAAATGCACATGCATTATTTACCATGTTGTTGAAATCAAGGTCATCTTTGTTCACAGAAGTCATGACCTTTTACATTACATGGCATAATTTAATACCTAACACACAAACGAGTGAAAAAACATAAAGACACTCATCACGCCATGTGCAAAAGTGTTAAAACCTGTCATGATCTCTGCTCTCTGCCACATGCCAGGCCCACTTCTCCGATGCAAACAAACTCATGCCCTGCACCTGTTGCCTGCTCTATATTCATTCAACCTTTATTTTGACAGGTAAATCCAATTGAGCCTCGAGGACTCATTTACAAGAGAGACCTGATTTCAACAAAGAATGATGACAACAATGGACAACAGTGACAACAATAAACAGTTATACAAAGTCATACTTTTTTTTATAACATTTTTTATATAACAGCTCCATGCACGCAAAGTCTCTGCCAGATTGTTTGATCGTCTCATGACTGAAGCATCCAGCGTTGTCGTTCTTGTCCCTGACCCATTTTCATGACCACAAAGATCTCGCCCTTTCCTTGCCCATGACATATTACTTAAGCCAATGGAAATCTGGACCTGGACCTTCGCTCTGCCTTTTGACCACTGATTCTCTCCAAGCCCCTGTGTTAAGTATTGCCTTTTCTAACTTTTTTTTTTTAGTGAATGACCCATGCTTCTGTTTTTTTTTTTTTTTTTTTTTTTTTTTTTACGATGACCTCAAAACCAAACTCCTCGCTCTGAAGAAAAAGGTTTTGTCAGAACTTTGAGGCTCACTCACCAGAGACACCATTGCAGCATCTACAACTCCTTCTTCCCTCATGATCAAGCTCTACAGGTTACTGTTGACTTCCCCCCCTCAGGACTTTTGCCTCATGCTATAACTTTAAAATAAATCTTTCCATTTCACTCATGTCTGTGGTCGAGTTTCTGGGTCCCTCTCACAACACATGACAAAACTAGCCCAAAATTTAGGCATCTGGTTGAAGAAGTACTTTACCGCATTATTCAGAAAAAATAGCTAGCGTTAAAAAAATAACTTGAGGTATTGAGGTACAGCCACAGTATATGTTACTATTCTTTAATAGGATTTTTTTTAGCTGCTAAAAAAAAAAACCACTAAGATTTTTTCCTCCACATATTTTCTCGTACTTATCGAGCCCCTTCTGTAGAAATTATACATGCATAGGGCTGATTCTCGACACTCACTTTTACACTTGGGTAGGGCATTGCTCCACTGCCCGTTGGCCTGGCACACAGATTTAACAGCCCCCTGCAGAACATACCCAGTGTTGCAGACAAAACGCACAACATCATTTAGGTTGAACTGGGTTCCTTGGGTCATTCCAAAGGTTGGGTTTCCGGGGTGTCCACATGTGATGGCTGAGAGAGTCAAGACAAGTTATTTTTAAACAATAGGATAACTCAGTTAATCAAACATTTAAAGTAAACACATGTTCAGCTTGAATAATGACAGTTTTTAAAAATACAAAATAAATAAAGAAATAAAAACACTGACTATTAAGGACACATAGAAGTAACTTTACTGCACCATTTTTTTTAAATAAGTTCTAATTGATTATTTCCCAAATTTACATTGAACCAGAGGAACACAATATAATATTTAGAAGATAAGATTACCTATGAAAATTCAAATATTAGGGTTTTTAAGACTTTTCTATAAACTCATTATTAATCAGTGATTCATAATAATTTATATTTGAGGGCCAAAACATCATTTCCGGTGGATTTTTTTTGTAGTTTTCTCTCAGTTGGAGCAACTCATACAATTGCTTTTCACTGAGGTAACACTATGAATGAGCAAACCGCCAGCCTTTACAAAGTAGAATCTTAATTGTTTTAAATAAATAGATGTCAGCTAAAGGGACTTACGGACACAGACAGGGGTATATCCTGACCAGCGGTGATCCTGTTCACAGATTCGCACTGACACCCCGATAAGACGAAACCCTGGGTTACACTGGTACACAACACTGCCTCGATAGTTATAGTTCTCTCCAATTATTTGACCATTCACTATTGGTTCTGGAGTTCCACAATGACCAGCTGTAAGAATGAAAAAAATAATAATAAAGTTTCAAGGTTAATAATCTAAAAGTCAACAGTTTATGAAGTCATACGCCTAATTTTGGGCTGAGAGCCTCACCTAGACACTGAACTTGAGTTCCACTCCAAAGCCCATTAGACATGCACTCCCGTACCCGAGAGCCCACCAGTGTGTACCCTGTGTTGCAAGAGAAAATGGCAGTGGCTCCATATACAGTTAATGTCCCAATCTTGTCCCCATTGGGTGGAGTCCCAAGGTCTCCGCAGGAAATGACTGAAATAAGCAAACAAAACATAATCCTGTATGAACAAATACATAAATTGGTTTAGCATTCATTTGGTTTTAGTTAAAGTTTTTTTTTTTTTTATATAAAGATTAAAAAAAAAAAGTGTGGATTTTTCAAAGTTGTATAAACATTTTTTGTCTCAAATTAATAAGCTGGACTGATAAACAGTGGAGAAAAGATTTTAACTGACTGTCGCAGACTGGGCGAGGATCTGGGTAGTTCCATGTGCCATTGGCCTGACAGCGAATAATCCTTTGACCCCTGTAGTAATATCCTGGGTCACATATGAGCATCATTATAGCATCGTATTGGTTCTGAGTTCCATAGATGAGCCTCCATCTTCCATGTTCCACAGCAGAGTGGCCAAAGTCAGGGCAGGTAGCCGCTAAAAGACAAAGAGGTTTGTCATTTGGGACGGTGAATGCTATGATTTTCAATTTGCATTTATTTCAGTCTGGTAACCAGAAATATTTGAACACAGACAATATTTTTTTTTTGTTTGTTTGTTTTGTTTGCAATTAACCAAAGCATATGTGTATATGTGTATGTGTATATATATATATATATATATATATATATATATATATATATATATATTAATGTGGACTCGACTGAATTTGAAATAATTCATATACAAAACAGATTACTTTGAAATGATCTATTCAATATGTAGCACAATATATTATGCAACTAAGTCAAGTCAATAGTAAAAAAAACTTGTAAACATGGTGTTGTTGTTGTTTATTTGTTTTTTTTGGGGTGGGAATGTATGGCCTCCAAAAAACACTGCCTACGTTTTCCTTATTAGTGATTTGCTTCTCCATTTGTAGCGGCAAAACTGTGCTTGAATGTAAAAGCTTTTTGGTTTTGTTTTGCAAATAAACATTTTTATTTATAGAACATGGTAGGGATTTGCATATTGTGCTGAATTATTTATATTCACTCTCACATTCTTCACTTTATTTCGGAATGGATAATAATATGTGAACTACTTTGTCAGTGATTTCTTCTTGGCTTGAAAGGAAAACCTGGAATTATATGTTGCTTTTTTAAGGTTCAAGGTTCTTTATTGTCATTCACATCACATATGGTACATGAGGTAGAACGAAATTGTGTACTCAGGGTTCCAGTTACACCCAAAAATAGCAAAAATATAAAGTGTAAAAAGAAACAGTACAAGGATTTAAGATATATGCTAAACAAATGCTAAACGATACTCTAAAAGATCTAAGAAGTATGCTAAACATTAATAATGTAAATAATATGGTATATTAAACAGCAGTCAGAAGTTGTCCTTTCATTATGTATTATACATAGATGTGGTCTATTATTTAAGCATTTTATTTCAAAATTTCAATCTAATAAAAATGTGTTTAATTTGCTATGAGAGCTTATTGAACTCATTGAGCTCAGCGTGACATCTTCCTTCTGTTAGTTCCATGCATGAAACTGCAGAAGTTTTTCACAAATAAATGAGTGAATGCAAACTTGAATAAATTTAAGTCAATAAAAAAAAAAAGGTTCTGCACAGCTGCAAGTCCTAAAATCTATAAAACCCTAAATTGAAACTCACAATCTGGGCATATTTTCAACATAGTAATTTGATGTTGAAGTAGAATAAAAATAATAACACCGGTAATTTTAAAAAAAATTAAAAATGTCTGTGTCCAAACAATGCTGGCCCTGAAATATTTCAGAAGCATTTTTCACTTAACAGCCACATAGCAATACTTACGGACACATCTGGGCGGAGCCTCAATAGAGCTCCACCTCCCAGATTCTTGACAGGTAACTAATGTGGTAATAGGGCCAGCAAGCCGAAACCCTGCATTACACTGGTACGCAACCTTGGCTCCAAGAGAGAAGTCTTGGCCAACAATGCTGCCGTTGACAGGAGCTACTGGCATTCCACAGGTCATGACTAGGAAAGAAATGCAACATAGAAGAAACAAGTGTTTAAGCCTTGATGCCCAGGTAGAACAAAATTAATTAATGGTCATAAGTTTCCTTTGCACATCTGTCTTGAAAAGCCAGTCTTGATGTGCAGTAAACTTTAGCTTGGCCCACCATCTGCACCTCAGTAAATAAAGACTCCAGAAAACATGCAGTTCATATAGAGATTACACCTGGCACTGAGCTACTGAATACCTGCCCCACTACTCCCAGTGTTTGATGTTAATGTGACTGATTTTTAACTAAACTGTGGAGACTTTTAGATTACATCACTTTATATACAGATATGGTCACATTTAAAAAAGAACCCCTCCCCCCAAAAATAAAAAAAATAAAAAATAAAAAAATAAATAAAAATCACCAAATAATGATATCCCTATAGGATCAGACACATGTACACGTATTACTAAAAATGTAGCAAACATATTTAGGATTTTTTGGCAAATCACATGACATGGACACACTTCCTTCCACCAGAACTGTATTTGTAATATAATATTCCACTATTTATTATTTCCATGGATGACAAGTTGCTTTTACTAAAGTCATCCAAATGTTGCAGTTTTACAGAGAGAGAAAAAACGTAATATATTCTTATATAGTGTTGTTAAGTGAGCTTTATTCAAGTACACTTTAGGGTGAAGATCTGATGCGCTCAGATACAATGAACTCTTGGACCCGAAGTGAAACAAAATGCCTATACAAAATACTTTACTGTACTATCAGACTTAAAATTTCATCACCCAAGCATTCAAATCTGACTAAATATTTAGTATTATTATGATAATGATGATGACGATGATGATTAGAGTCTTCATATTCATACTTGCTTGTGAAAAACAAACACACATTGTCTTTGAGGACTTTAACAAAAGTGTTATATTGTAAGTATTCCTTTTTTTTTTCTTCTTTTTAGACATTGGCAACCTCAGTCGTAACTTTTAAAAGTGGCATCCTTTATATAGTTTTCAAGAAAAGTTGCAATATTTGTTTGAGCAAACTATTAGAAATGTTTAAATGAACTTTTCCATATATTGCAATAATTTGAACACAGAACAGAAATAAATAAATAAAACACATGTAGCATGCTACTTAAATTAAAAGTGATTAAATCTTGATTATGAACACATTTGGCCAAGCTGATTTATAAAATAAAATAAAATAAATAATGCTGTTGTTTCTACTCAGGAGCTCGTTCCAGGGTGGGATCCTCACCTTGGCAAAGAGGCACTGGTGCATTCCACAGAAAGATCCCTTGTGCAGATCGGGTGCACGTGGCGCTGCTCTGGCCAATCAGTCGAAAGCCCTGGTCGCAGCTGAAGCGCAAGGTGCTGCCTAACTTAGTGCCCGTCAGACTGTGCACTGTCCCATTCACAGGGTTGTTTGGAGGGCTGCAGTATGCCGCTATGGATATAAAATAAAATAAAACATATTTATATGACAAAAACAGAACAAAAATATTGCAACAAGTATAAAAACACAATCATGATGCAAGTATTTGTTGAGAAGATGAAAAATGAATACACATATGAGAGCAGAGCGCGCCAGATCTCCACTGCATCTACTGGTGCTGAGGAAAAGATTAGGACAAACGCAGCTGACTTGAGATTAAGGAAATCCATTGTAGGAAACGAATGCTCTGCAAAGCAAAACTGGAGTTTGTTGGCAGCTGCAAATAAGGATCAAAAAGTGATGAATACACAATAACAAGAGCAAACTATGTGTTTTGGGGTAAGCCAGTAGCAGTGATGATCATTTCGCATGATGCCAAAATGGATCCAGAAGAGTTACAGCATTAAAAGGGATTTAGATTTCCCTTCTTTAGGGCAAAGTGTGCACCAGCTAAATAAGGGGAGCAAGTAACAAGACACATAAAATGAAAACAATACATGAGTTATAGTAACAACAATAATGCTATTATAAACAATTAGTATGACTATGTTTAATTTTGTTTAATTAATCCATGTAGATTAGCAGATGGACTTTTTTTTTAAATACTCAAATATGTTAACATATGTCTGATGTTTATGTTATTCTTCAAAGTTGCTTAGTTCTTGCCACAGATTTGCTTACACATGACCAATAATGTATGAGTATCATATAAGTTAAGAAGAAATGTGGGACCTTATTTTCTTTCATATATTTCAGTAGGTCATTAAAATATTAAATGCATATGCTAAAGCAAGAGCCATACGAAATAAAATCAGGCAAATATATTTATTATGGATGATACCAGACTAGGCTGTGTCCATGGAAGAAATACTTTCATATTTTCATATTTTCAAGTATTTAGCACGTTTCAAGCTTCCTTATGATTTCATTTTCATTTACCTTTATTTATCCAGGTAGTCTCAAAAAGCCACAAGAACTCATTTTCAAGAGAGACCTGTTTAGGGAGCAGATGGTGGGGGTTAAGGGCTTTGCTCAAGGGCCCAGAGTGGGGCGAATGAGGGTGGGGGCAAGTGTGGGTGATTCACCTACCCCACCCACATTTTTGATGTTGTTGGTACCGGGGTGTGAACCGGCGATCTTCCAATCACAGGCTCACCTCTCTAACCTCTGCGCCACCACTCCCCTATTATGATGATAATTTAACAAAAAATAAATAAATAAAGCACATTGTAAACTCAACATCTTGACGGAGGCCGAGATGGGGTAGAGGTAGGGCAGCCGACCTGGGACCAAAAAGTCACAGGTTCGACTCCCAGTCATTCCCACATGTCTCAGTGTCGCTGAGCAAGACACCCAATCCCTAATTGCTCCCTAGGCACTTACAGGCAGGAGGTGGAACACCTGGAGAGCTGGTGCAGAGAGAATAACCTTCACATCAATGTGAAGAAGACAAAGGAGATGATTGTGGACTTCAGAAGGAACAAAAACACCTACACCCCCCTGAACATAAGAGGATCTGCGGTGGAAGTGGTCTCCAGCTACAAGTACTTGGGTGTACACATGAATGACAACCTCAGCTGGAGCAACAACACCACCAGCCTGATCAAGAAAGCTCATCAGAGACTCTACTTCCTCAGACGGCTGAGGCGAGCTGGTCTGGGAAGCTCAGTCCTCACCTCCTTCTACAGGTGTGCAGTGGAGAGCATCCTGTGCTCCAGCATCAATGTGTGGCATGGAGGCTGCACAGCTGCAGAAAGAAAAGCTTTGCAGAGAGTGGTGAAGGCTGCACAGAAATCTGTTGGAGTCAGTCTCCCCACCATCACAGACATCTACACCTCCAGATGCAGGAAGAGGGCCACCTGCATCATGAAGGACCCCACCCACCCAGCACACACACTTTTTGCCCCACTCCCCTCAGGAAGGAGGTTAAGGAGCATTAAGTGTAGAACCACTAGACTGAGGAACAGCTTCTACCCTGAGGCTGTTAGACTCATGAATCTCTAACTAGAATAATCACTGTGAAAAACCATATCATGTTGCTGCTGATCTGTTTCATGTTGCTGCTGATCTGTTTCAATGTTGATGTGTTCATGCGTGCACATCTGCTCACAGACTCATGTTCATGTTTGTGGTGATGTTCAATGTTTTATGTTATGAGTGCTTAGTGTATATTTAGTTGATGTTTTTCTTAGTTCATATCTTAGATGTTATTACTGTTTTTCTTATACATTTTATTGTTGGATGTAACTGGGACCCTGTGTACATAATTTCGCTCCACCACATGTACCACATGAGGTGCGAATGACAATAAAGAAACTCTGACTCTGACTCTGACATAGCTGTCCACTGCTCCACCTGGGTGTATCCCACATGAGATGGGTTAAATGCAGAAAACAAATTTTCCCATTGTATAGGAACATACAATGATGACAACACATAGCACGTTACTATCTCGAGCTCTGCCACTTCCTGTTCTTTCTGTTGTCTTGTTGACAGTGACATTAGCAACAATACAGTAGAAATAACTGGAAGTGGCAGAAATCAATCTGTTGATGTTCTCCTTGTGAGTGAATAAGAATGAGATCATCAGAGGTACAACACAAGTTGAACAACTGGGACATGAAGTTAGAGAGGCCAGACTGAGATGGTTTGGACATGTCCAGAGGAGGGACAGTGGGTATGTTGATAGAAAGATGTTAGAAATGCAGCTGCCAAGATAAAGACAACGAGGAAGGCCAAAGAGGAGGTATACAAGCATGGATGCAGTTAGAGAGGACATGGAGGTAGTTGGAGTGAGGACAGAGGATGCAGAGGACAGAGTGAGATGTAGGAGGCTGAATTGCTGTGGCGACCCCTGAAGAGGGAACATCTGCCAGTACAAAAATATGTAATTGTATCTATGTGTAACATAGATTCATCTCAAAACATAAACATGTTGTGAAAAAGTTCAGTATGTTTCAATGATCATTTCAGAAATTGAAACTCACATAGTATACTGTATAGGGTAGACTCATTACACAGAGTGAAATGATCCAAGCCTTTATTTCTTATAATTTTCATGATTATGTCTAAAAAACAAAAAATAAAAAAAACAAAATTCTGAGTCTCAGAAAATTAGAATATTCAGCAGCCAGCTGTTGGTATCTTTGTCAGTGTGGGCAGGAGCAAAATCCTGCTGGAAAATTAAATCAGCATCTCCATAAAGCTCATCAGCAGAAGGAAGCATGACGTCTCTACAATGTCCTGGTACATGCTGAGTTGACTGTGGACTTCAGAACACACTGTGGACTAGCACCAACAGAGGACATGGTCTCAAACCATCACGACTGTGGAAATTCCACACTGGACTTCAAACAACGTGGATTCTGGACCTCTCCCTCCAGACTCTGGGACCTTGTTTCCAAATGACATTAAAATTTACTTAAATCTGAAAAGAGGACATTGGACCACTGAAAGACAGTCCAGTTCTTTGTTCAAGGTTCTTTATTGTCATTCACATCATATGCAGTACATAAGGTGGAACAAAATTGTGTACTCAAGGTCCCAGTTACATCCAAAAATAGCACAACTTGTCTCCTCAGACCAAATAAGATGTTGCTGACATTGTCTCTGGTTCAGGAGTGGTTTGACTTGAGGAATGAGACATTTGTAGCTCATGTCCAGGAGTTAATCAGCTGATTAGGGTGTGATACCATGAGTTTACAATATCAAAGCTCTTCACAATGTTCTAATTTTCTGAGACAATGAATTATTTATTTTTTTGTATCATTTGGAAGCCATAATGATAAAATTATAAAAAAAAAAAAAAAAAAAAAAAAACTTGAAATATTTCACTCTGTACTTAATGAATCTACAAAATATGAGTTTCACTTTCTGAAATGATTGACAAAAAAATAGAATGTTGTCATAATATCCACATTTTTTAATGCACTTCTATTGTTCACTCTCCCAGCACTTAAGTTTACAGTTTTTTCATCTTTATATTTAACTAATTTACACTTTTGTGTTGTCATCATCTCCCATCCATGTCCATTCTTTCCAGCAGCATGCCATTGTCCCTTTTTTTGGCAACTGATAATGAAATATAATTTGAAAGAAGCAACTGATGAAAATTTACAGCAGGAAACTGAGATAGTAAATTGCAAAAACGTCTGATAGTTGTTAATAAAAGGCCTGCCCTCTGAGAGAAACACGGATTGATGAGTAGTAAAGCTGAATACATTGAATGGGCTCATGCCATCTGTTTGTTCCTCCCTAGCAAGGTACAACCAAAGATAATTCCATAGTGGCCATGGCGAGTTCTGGGTTCTTGGGCATCACTTAGCCAGTCACTGAATATGCCAAAATAAATCAAACAATACTCTATCCAATACAATATTTGGGAGGAAAAAAAAAAGGAATAAAAAAGGAAAGAGAGGAAAAAAAAAAGGGAGAAAGATAGAACATCCGGCTGGGGAGATAGAAAGCTCCACTGAGAGGAGGAGAGAGACGATTAGTCAATCTGGCTGAGTGGTGTTGATACAGAACAGAGGGGGCCTTTTAAATATTTACACAGTCATAATTCATAGCGAGTTATGCAGGTGTCGTATACCAACAAATCCTTCATGCTAGCAGGACAAAATGGAGGAATAATAAGCAACACATGAACCGGCGTTTACCAATTCCCGGCTTCCTGCTGCACAGCGAACCGTGGGTGCAGATGTTTGCTCCCCCCATTAGGCTCTCATTGAGATGGGTCATAATTCTAGCTGCCTCAGCCACAGTTGGCAGCCCAGATGTTGGGCTTGTTAAAGTAAACTGAACACACCGCTGATGGGATCTAATTCAAAACAAGGACTTAAAAACTTCAAGTGAGAAATGATTTTTATAAGATGTTGCAGTGGAATCAGTGTAGTAAATCTGTGGCCCTTCCTTACCTGAGTAACGTATGCGAAAGCCTTTGTGGCTGGTTGTGTGGTCAAAAGACCAATGCAGGTAGACTTTGTTACTGGAGCTGGTGATGCTCAGCGGACTGGAATAGTTACCACTGAGAGTTATAAGGAGAGGGCTCTGTCTGGATGGACCTGTAGAACGACACAACAAAACAAAAATAAACTGAAGTATACCCCAAAGGTTTTACAGCCTGAAACTTGCAAACCAAAACTGGCACCTATGCTTTAAAAAAGTCATATAGCTCTAAATACTCTTCTATTAAGCACTTATCAAACAGCTATTTCAACAACTGGCTATGTGAAGAAGCAGTGTACATTAAAAAAAAAAAAAAAAAATGTATAAGCAATTATTTACTTGACACATTAGGTTTGGTTTGAATTGTGTGATGTAGCAAATATAAAAGTTGCTGATCTCCAAATTGAGAGGGAGAGAAAAAGATTTCTGTCCATAATTGGCTTGGTTGCCTCAAGGTTAACAATTGTCTGTTCCTCTCCACTCGACAGAAGATAAAAAGCGCTAATCAGCATCACTAGTGTGTACCACCACCGTTTTCTCAGAGCTGCCAGCCAGAGTTGCTGACTCTGCCTCTAATCACATGCAAATGTACAAGGCAGATGTAGCTGTTCTGTCACCACGAGAGGGGGGGTTGTATGCGATTTTCTGTTAGTGCAGGCAGATCACTTTGTTAAGGACAGTAAATTTTGCTGTCTGCCTCATTTAGCTTTGACTATGGACTTCTTAGAAAAAGGAGTTTTGGGCCAATAACACGAGATCTAAAGTGTAATCAACCAAAAAAAAAAAACATTACATGTTGTAGGCAGCAACCAACCAGATCAAATCCTTACTGATAACCTATAATACAAATTGGTTCACTTTCCCAGTAGCAGCAAATGACCTACCATCAAAGACTTCAAGCTCATCAAACTGACGGCTGGTCTGGAAGTGTTCAATGGTGAAAGTAATGTTGTAGCCAGGTTCTACTTTGACCACCCAGGAGCAGGACTCGAAATGAGGAAAACCATTGCCTGGTGACTGGCTCATAATGACACCCGTGGAAGCTGTCAGCACCTCGTTCATCGGACAAGTCACTGGTGAAAAAAAAAAATGAGGGGAAAGAACGACAAGGGAAGATATTATTTCAAAAGATTAAAACCGTGATCTGTTTGTGTTTTCCTAGTATTGCATTATGATTGCAGATCACGTCTCGTGGCTGTTTGTTCATTTTAGAGAATTCAATTTACCTTGAAGCATAAATTGGATTGCTCCGATTCATACCGTTGCTGGAGAGTAACTCATTGTGACTAAAAGCGTGGCCAAGCTAATTGTCATTCTGGCCTGCACTCCATTACAGAAGAAAAAAACAAAGCTATGCATGTTAAGTCATTCCGCTAAACAGCTTATACATTATATCATATCAGTGACTAGCCATAAGCACATTCGCTCATCTGTGCCCATTGTCCATGTGTGACAGATCTGACGCTAACTTGGCAGCTGATTCTCTCATCAGCCTTGAAGCCCTCATTGCTGTAGCACATCTGGGCGGGCCACAAACGTCCAGTCATTGCATTCCTTCCTGTACCTGGGATTCAAGCAGAACATATCCCTGACTTCCTTGGTGGAAATGTTTTCTGGCAGTTTTGGTCTGTATTATCAGACAGCACATGGTGCTCCTGTCTGATGTGTTTTTGTTGCAGTTTTGTGAAGAACAATGTCTCAATCTGACAAGAGTTATCGGAGCAGTGGAGCTCACTAAAACAAGCTGTAACATGAAATGAGCGATATGTCATTATAGCCACACAGTCCAAGAGTTATCCAGCTGTTTCTTCATTTTGCGGTTTCCATTTGAGTTTTATCAAAGTAGTGAATTGCAAAATATTGCTCCTTACATAATAGAGATACACAATCTTTGCAATTCAATTTAACACTGTATGCAACAAAGATAAGTCAGGTCCTCTGGACGGATTTGTTTTTGTTGAAACGTGTTGTCTTTCATCCAAACGACTTCATCAGTCTGAGGAGCTGCAACAAACTCAGTATTATAAATAGCAACTTCACAAAGTGGGTCAACCAGTTTGATGGCGCTCAGCTGGTTTCAGGAGTCAGTCCTCTCCCCCACCAACTCATTTGAAATGCAGTCATGG